TGGGGTTGATTCTGAAACGATATGGGTGGTATAGAAATGGGTGGTGAGCTCTTCTCGAGTCGTGTCTGTGCACAAAGTAGGTCAACCTGGACCCTCCAGATCTTAGCCCACCCACTTTCACATGTGAACAGTGACACCTCTTCATCACACGATGATTTGTTTCAGAGGGAACTGTCATTTACAGCTTTGGTCTCTTTCTTACATTAGAGAGAAGCTTAGCCCTTATCTCCCTGAAGACAGCTGGCAAGTCTGAACCTTCAGGCAAGTTGCGGAAGCAGCTAAAAAAGCAGCAAGACTCACTGGATTCAGTGGACTCTTCAGTCTCTTCTTTATGTTCGTCTAGCACTGCATCTTCTCATGGGACCAGAAGACGATTTCAAATTTATTCCAAATCTCCATTCTACCGAGCTTCCTCAGCTGGCGAGGCCCTGGGAATGGAAGGGCCATTGGGCCAGACCAGGTACCTAGAAGACAAGCCTCAATTCATCAGCAGAGGAACCTTCAACCCTGAAAAGGGCAAACAAAAATTAAAGAATGTGAAAAACTCACCTCAGAAAACCAAAGAGACCCCAGAGGGGACAGTTGTGTCTGGCCGCAGGAAAACTGTGGACCCAGACTGCAGCTCTACCCAACAGCTAGCTCTCTTTGGAAATAATGAGTTTATGGTCTGAACTGGCAGATGTGTTGTCCCTTCATGGCTACATCTCATCTTTGGGGCCTCATCACCTGGTCCACAATATTCATCCTAATTGTGGTCCTGCCTCTCGCCCAAGCATACAGCCAAGACCTTGTGTGCTGAATTCCTGGTCCTCCTGCCGAAGCGGAAAGCCCTCTTTGAAGCCTGCTAGGGATGGTGCCAGTTGTGCCTTGGCTGCTGTATTTGACTAGAGATTTGACTAAACCAAGCAACCAGGGCCTGGGGATTTGGGTCAGTTGTGGAGGTCTTTGTAGTTGCCTCTCCTCCCTCCTCTTTTCCCTTCCCAGAGGTGAGTGTGGAACTGGGGGGACATTGTGGGCTGGAGGGACCCACTGATTTCTGACATTTGAAGAAAACATATAAATCTTTCTTAACCATGAAAGTGAAATCCTTTGGGTTTATTTTGGGATAGTTAGGAGCTGGGGTAGAATATAATTTTTTTCCAAGGATTTATAAACAAAAAGCCTAAGCCCTCTATTTTAAGATTTTGGAAAAACACTCCATGTTACAGGGAAAGTGAAAAAGCAGGTGTCTCCATTAAGCCATCAGAGCATGTCTCAGACATCTGTGGTTACACAGTGAAGAGGAGAATACATGTTTTGCTTTTGATGATGTTTGATGTCATAATAATCAATGCTGGTTTAACTCCTGGTTAGTTCCTGCCAAATATATTGCATGGCCCGAAATTTCAGTAGCTATACTGTTCTTACAGCCCCTGATTCTAGGATCAGGTTCCTCTAATATTCTTTAAATGTCCCAGAGACATGGTGAACCCTAAACATGAGGGTTTCACTGCTAATCCATACAGGCTTTTCTCTTTGTATAGATTAAACTGAAGATCATTTATGAACCTATTTATCTGCTGGTGGATTTCCACCACGAGCTCAGACAAATAATGTGACCATTTAATCACTTCTCCCCAAACATTCACACACAGCACTGCATGAATAAGTGTTACAGAAAGCTGCCAAGAAAAAAAGAGAGAAAAGTTTTTAATATGACCCATCTAACTTTTATCTTCTTTTCCTCAGACCATCAGTATTAAATAGATGAAAAAAAAAAGAAATCAAGGACTACTTGAAGCTATTTTTGTTAATATTCTGGTTACTGAAGTTTACTGTAAATATATATATGTATAGTATGCATATTTCTTTTTAACCTTATGCTACCTTGCTCCCCATGGAATTTCTTCCCACAGATTAGGGGCCATTGGACGTGATGGTGAGAGCCACTCATCCCTGGGTTGAGGGAGAAGTCAGACCATTTTTCTCACCACTGGGTGTCTCCATATACCTGAGTTATGAAAGCATTTTAAGCTTCTTAGCATTTGTGGGATTAGAAATCTGTTTTTGCCTATTTATAATATATGGAAAATGAAACATGATACCCTTTCTTGAGATAAGTATGTGAAAATGTTTTTTTAAAGTTACTAAATGCATCTTGTCTAACTACCACATGCACTGTTCTAAAAAAGAGCCTTTACCATCTGTAACCTGAATTTTGGTTATTCTTCCTTTTCATACTTATTTGATGTGAAGTTATAGAAATATTAAGACTTTTGTTAAGGCAGAGTCTCTCCTGTTACACAACACTGAACCTCATGCCACTGCCTCCTTGGTTATTGTTGAGCCCCAGAGGCCAGACATGGAACATCATTCTGAGTGGCAGCTACAGGTAGCAGGAGGCTTACCTCTCTCTGGTTTGGGTTCAGAAATGACCTCGGGAAAGGAATCTTTTTAAATCTCCAAAATGGTGATGGTTAGTAAGTAAATGTTAGATTTTATATCCTGCGAACATCTGCCACCTTGTTCATGCTGTCCTGAGGAGTAACAAAGGTGAAGCCTTTAAAAATATGAATTTGAGAGTCTCCTAGAGTAAAACCCAACCCCTCAGCATGGTGTGTCAGCGTGGGTGCCCCAGTCCCCGTGCCAGGCACAGTTTGTCCCATTATTCTTGGGAGGGTGGTTTTCAGCTGGCACTAACTACTACTCTCCACTTGCTCCAGAACGTTGTTTAAATACCATACAAAAAAAAAAAAGAGATTAGCCCTGTTGAATAGTTTTCTTTGGCCCACGGAAATGGCCTGGGAAACACATCTTGGCACGTGCCCTCCCCTCTGAATCTTTGTGGAGTTTTTGTTTTGTTGCTGTTGTTTTGCAAAGTAAGTTTTTGGCAGTTAAAAAACTACTCATGTAGGTCACTTTATAGGAACCAGGCGATGGATGTTAAGAGACTTTATAATTTTTCTCAGGGACCTAAAACCTGAAATTGGATAAAATTAAATAAATATTTGTTTTTCAGTTGCTAGATTTGTGGATTTCTAGTCATTTAACAAGCTGCCAGAATGGAGGGTGGGGGTAGGGAGATCCATGCAATTATAAGAATGGAGAGCAAATGTGGGACCCTCCCTTTGAAGGAAAGCAAGCCGTTGTTCTCATAACATAACAGGCATTGTTGGCCTGGGAAAGAGATGAAGCCATAACTCTAAAAAACTGTCAGAACCAAGTGCTGTATCTCCTTCCCTCTGATCTTAACTGGTCCTCCCCGTGGTTAAAGTTATGTTACCACAAGGCGATGCTGTATTACCAGGGGTCCCCAATCCCTGGGCTGCAGACCGGTACCGGTCTCCGGGCCTCTTAGGAACTGGGCTGCACAGCAGGAGGTGAGTGGCAGGTGAGCGAGCGAAGCTTCATCTGTATTTACAGCCACTCCCCATCGCTCGCATCACCGCCTGAACCATCTCCCCTTCCCCGCCACCCCCGGCCCCCTGTCTGTGGAAAAGTTGTCTCCCACGAAACCAGTCCCTGGTGCCAAAAAGGGTGGGGGCCGCTGCTGCATTGCAATCACGTATGATTGAGATATTTAACCTTAGTATGTGTCAAATTTGTATTTCCTATTGTTCCTCTGCTCATTTTCTTTGATCTCAAATGCCTCAAAGGAAATCCCTGCATGGCAGCAGTGGGGCAGCCCCTCATTTGAAGCCCATACTCTAAAATGCAGAGCATTCTCTTCTTATCACACGTTCCCAGCCCCAAACACAGCCTGGATTTCTAATTCTCCCAACTAAAGCCAACGTATCCCTTATCATGGAAAATGTAATGGAAGCAGAGAAGTGTGCATTGTGTATCACAAAGTGAAGCAAATACAGAAAGGATTTAGGAAGGTGACATGCTGAGTTTGTAATGCGCTTTATACTTCCTGCCATTTAAATTATTTTGCCACTCTCGGCTTCTGAAAGACAAAGGAGATACAGCTCAGTATGAGCCTTGCAGAGGCAGAGGGACCTGAGGTTAGGGGGTGGGATACAAGAGCCCCACCTTCTCATGCTTTGGAAACCAGCTACAGCTCTTACCTTGCTGGGGGGTTAGTGGAGACTTCTGTCTTCCATCGCAACAACAATAGGATTGTTTTCACTGTCAAAGACAGAGGGTTCCAGAAGCATGCTGAAGAGAGGAGGTCCAGCAAGGTTCTGCAGGCCCACTTTAGTGCCTGTGGGCCATGGTTTTTTAACTATAATGAATGTGTACCTTTCACAAGCACTTTGGTGAACCAGAGAGAAGAAAGTATTCTCAGGATGTGTTTAAAGCTAAGAGAGTTTTAAGAAGAAACAAAGTCCAGACGGCTTTGCTCATCCTTCTCTCTCCCTATTTTCTCCTCCTTGGTGGGGAGCTGGACAACATCATTCTGTGCTGACAGATGTGTTTGTCTACCCATAATTTTGTGACAGCTGGCACTGTCCCCCAAAACCACGCTAGCCTTGTAGTAAAATTCCTTGGTATTTGTGGGAGTCCTCTGTCTGTGCCCCTAAAATACTGTTAACCACTTTCCTCTGGAACCACTCCCACATTTGATTTGGTGGTAAAGGGCAAAACAGTGATTGTGGAGGTGGATCTTTTAGGTCTTGTTGGTCTCTTGGTTGAAACTGTTTTCAAAAGCCCCACCAAGGGGTCTATTACCTTGCTCTCCATCCATACTTAAAGCCTATTTATCAGCCCTGTTAGGTCATATAAAAGTTGCACCTTTTGAACAAGTAATTGTGTTTACTAAGGGAAAGGTGTGCACTACAGATTAGTATTATATTATTTTAATGGATTGAAAGTAATTTATAAGTATGCTGAGTGTAAATTTATAAAAGACTATGTATTGTAAAAGGACATATCCTGTGAAATATAATATCATTTTACTGTTTAACAGAATAATTCTATACGAAGAATGATTTGTCTCACCCACAGAACTGATTACATTCCTGATGCAATCAACAGGCACTTTGTGATTTCCTTTTTTTTTTTTTTTCATCTTTTTTTGCCGGGAGGGAGGGGGACATCATTTGTATAAAGTAGAGTTTGTGTCACTCAAAATATGCACTGTATGGCTACACAAGAGCAGCTTGATGAACAGGTCACTCCATGGCTCATTAAAGAACAAAGCTTCCAGAAGCAGCAATACGTGTGGTTTGTTTTCTGACCATCCTGGCTCCCACCCCAACTCACTCCAACCTGAACCCAAGGAAGAGCAATGTTTTTCGTTAAAGTCATGTTTTTTTTAAGGAAAGGACTGAGCCCCCAAATTTTCAAAGTACAGAGGTGGTAATTATTGGAACTCAGTAGAGTTCAAGTGAAGGTGAGATTCAAGCTGTGAGTTTTCTGTAATGGATGCTAAGCTGTCAAGACTTCATTTAATCAATTTAGAGGTAGGCGGGCAGGGAAGGCAATAAATCTACATTGAGGCTCCTCACCAAAAAGGCCATGAAGAAGTAGCAATAGCTGCTAATAGAGGGCCCTAGTGTATCCTTTTTGTTCCGCCCTGCACTGCATGACTTTGGGAAAGTCATTTGCCCTCTGTCTGAAATGTGGTCTCTCCCCCTGGTTTACTTCTCCGGATAACTCTTACTGACTCTCAGGTCTCAGTGTAAAAAGCAGTTCTACCTGGAAGTGTCCTCTTCCCCTTTGAACTGGCTTAGATGCCTTGTGTTCTCAACAGCTCCCAGTGCTTGTGGCATCAAAAAACTTTGATGTTAGCTTCCCAAGGCAAGAAAAGAGCCTATCTTGCTGACTCTTAGATCCTCAGCACCTAACAAAAGGTGCCCACACTTACATTTTGGATGCGAGGGCTGAATGAGATCAGGGGTTCTCAAATGCCAAACCAAGTCTAAGGTGGAATTGAAAAATAATTAATGTGATCAGTTTTCCCCTAATGTCAAATTTATTCAATTTTTAAAATTCTGAGATCATCCTTCACATTTCTTTTTACATCAAGTTTACATTTACATTTTGCATTAAATTCACATTACAACAAAATAGTGGACTAAGATTTCCTTAATTGGCTAAATAAAACCTAGTAATGCCATTTTTAAAAGTTGCCCCTGTGATTACTGGATCCACAACAAACCTTTCTGCTTATAAAGATAAGAGCAGAAAGTTGTAAGGAGACGCAGACTAGAGCTTTGCTTTTTAAAAACTGGTTCTGTCTCCTAGATTGGATAGCAGTACAGCATCTTAGAGCCAGGGACATAACCAT